TCAAGCTGAAGAGTGTGGTGATTTCTAGGAGTTGATGGCACACAAACACCCAGCAGCCTGTTGAACTCCAGTGCCAATATTTTCCAAGCTGAATAACTTTCTAGAAGTTTCGCTCCTGCTTTTGCCCTCTCTGGGGGTGTTTTGTTGAAACTCCGCAGAAGACGCTTGGGATGCTGTTCCAGGCTGGCGTGGTGCTCGTAGGACCCCTAGGGCTCAGGCACAGGAACCTGCTGCACAGTAAATAACCCCTTACCCCACAGTGCCCGACGTAGACAGCTCTGCATGTGTGCTTTTTGCTCAGTCAGCAAAAGGCGGCTCGGTAGCTTTCGTGTACAGTGACCACTTTTGGCTGTGCACGGTCCCCTGTCCCCGAGGGGTGAGCTGGGTCGCTGCACGCATTTGTGTGCGGGCCGCTGCTCTGTACAGACACTTCACTACTGCCTCGCTTGCTGCGGAGGGGCTGTTTGTTTCTCAGCCACCATGGACTGAGCAGTGTAAGCAATACGTCACGTTTTGTACATCCAGAAGTGTTACTCAGGTTCAGAAGTCACAGCAAACACCGCAGGCAGTGGTTTGTGTGCTGGGGGAGTGCCAGGAGTGATGCATCTTCTTTTAAAGGACTGCCCTTGTTCAGCTTCTCATCTCTCTCCCTTCTCTGCTTGAAGTGCTACAGCTGAGAAAATTGTTCCTAATTATTAACTTTTATTTATTTCTTTTTGGGAAGGAATAAGATGGTCCCTCATCAGTGAATGACTTGTACCAGGCACTGGTGTTGGAGCAGTGCGGGTTTGTTTCTCTAAAGCAGTGGATGCTGGAAGCAGTCAGGAACAAAAAGGATAATGTTTGTTTTGAGGATGAATGGGAAAGGGAAAATTACAGACTAAAAACAGGCTTGGATATAGTCAGTAGGAGAAGGAAGCTGGTTAATGTGTGAACACTGTTCGTAGGTGCCTTCTGAGCAAACAAAACCAAAAAATGACAATGGAGAAGGCGGCTTTCTGGTACTGAGCAGCTGCTGGTTGCGAGCAGTGTTACTGCCCCAGCACTGGTTTGGCACTGGCTCAAAGGGACTTGTGGAAGCACAGAAAGGCAAAGGTGTGTTAAAAATCAGTATTTCCACTTCAAGGGGCTCCAGATTTCCTGCCGTGACTCTAGAAACGGAGGCGCTGGTGACGCACCGAGTGTCAATGGTGCGAGCGGTGTGCAAGGACACTGAATTTGCCTTTTTTTTTATTTATTAGTGGGTGTCTGTAGTGCAATAATGTTCAATAAGTGAACATTAAATCAGTGTCTTGGTAGTTTGTAAACCCAGAGATGTGCATGAAGCATCGTTACAATAATTGGCCAATGTGTAGATGCAAACTTTCTCTGCTGAATTATCTGTTTTAATAAACTCATTTCCAACTTGTTTTAAAATGAAGGTGGGGGGAGTGTATTTTTCTTGATACACACTTAATGCTGATGTATTAGTAAATCAGTATTAAAACAGATTTAAAAGTGAATTATAGAATTAAGAGTTCAAGCTTGTGACATCCAACACAAAATGTGTTGGCCTCAAATTTTTGAAAATAAGGAAGTGGTAACAAGCTTTGGGTTTCAGAGCAGTGTTTGGAATAAGCATTATTCTTCTGGTTAGGGCTGAGATTTGTAGGAGTTTTGCTGGAAATCAGCCAGTATAGCATAGCAAGTTAGTCATATTTAAAAGTGCCTTAATGTAAGGTATTGTTTGTTTGCTCTGTAATAGACACCATAAAATAACAAGAAAAGGAGAATACTTTTTTTTGCCCTCCGCAAATCTCAGAGTAGCAGTTTTATGTTTTAAGAAGGATAAGCAAAGCTAGCCAGAGATTTATCAAATGTTTCAAATTATGAAATGTCTTTATATAGAATCATAAATCTAAAAAGCAAGGACTGTTTTTTCTAGAACTGTGGGAATTATTTTATGGTATTTTTCACAATAAAGATATTTATGATGACAAGAAAGCACTGCAGTGTGTCTGCCCTTCTTTCCTCATCCTGCTCTCCAGGTTTGCAGTCAGAGCTGTGCAGAAATGCAGCAAAAGGCTGCCAAAATGGTGGCTTGGGGGCTACATTAGAATTTCATGAGGAGCCAGTGCATGTTGTCATGCTTGAACAAGATGAGAACCACACACCAACCACAAGGGGGTGGTTGGAAGCAAGGGCTTCTTTCACAGGCCAGGTTTTATATGAGATGCTGTAGTGTGGCTTCCCAGTGTCTGTCTTTGGAAAGCTGTGGCCTGCCTGGATAGGAGCACTTCAGACTGTCTCGGCCCCCAGAAAAGTTTGTGAGGTACAAATGTGGCTGCTGGCTGGACTGGGCAAGGCCTACACACTGCTCAGTTGTTTCTTGCTGTACTAGGAAACTCTGACCTTACAGTATCCTTGGAGATAAAGCACCTTAAATGCACAGAGAGATTTCCAGGCCTGCACTTTTATATATATTCATGTGTATAGAACCAGTATCTCTTGCAAAGGAGGAAAATACAGAACTGCTAATAAAAAGGTCAGCAACTATGTAACTAATTACAGTGTTAATGTTTTTCATGACTGTCTTTAGGTTTAAGAAAAAGGTGAGTGCAGCATTGATTCTGTTTTAAAGTAATGACTATAAATACATCTGTGTATTTAAGCACTCTAAGTACAATCTACACCTCTCTATTTTTACTGTTGTCAAAGCCCAAAATCTGATCCAGAGTGACACGCTGATGACTGGAAAAAGCCAGTGCTGACATCCTTGTCAAGATTTCTGGCAATGTGTGATGAGAAGCTGCCAGAACCCTTCATTCAGGAGTGAAGATCCAGACAAGAACTGAAAGTCTCCATGAGCACAGAGGGACATGGGTTCAGATGTGCTGATGGTGGCTATAACTGTGTGATTCCTGCCTTTAGGAGGGGATGTCACAAAACAAATGGAGACTTTCAACACGCAGCTGGCTGAGAAATGTCAGAAAGAGCTGCTGGGGGATGGCCCTGACGTTCAGAATGAAATAACATCTGTGATGGCCTAAGACTGTCCTCTTGCATGAGAGCCTCATGGGGGAGCACGCCTCACAGGCACTGAGATCTGAGGTCCTCAACCCTTCTGCTTCCTGGGGAGCCAAAGCCAAGCATGGCAGGAGCTCATCTGAATGAGCAGAAGATGAGAGCAAAAAAGTGATATCCACCAAATCAGAGTAAAAGAGTAAGCAAAGGGAGCAGATTTGAGCCTCCTGTCCCTTGAAGAAGCCCTTCCTGGAGAGGAGCAGGGCCCTGGCTGCAGGGCCTGTTTCAGCAGCTGCAATGACCAGGCTGCAGTGTGGTACACAAGGAGTCTGTGGCACAGCAGTCACGGTGTCACTAAAAGTAGCTGCTAAACAATACATAAAGCAGATACATAAAGCATAAGCAGAAAAGAAAAAAACCACTGCTCTAGCTTGAGAAGGTTGTGGTGCGAAGGCAAGTGCTTGATTTTGGAAGAAGGTCAAAAGGAACCTCACTGAGAAGTATTTTCAATACTAAAGCTTTGGCTCATCATCAATACTGCACTGGTGTCTGTTAAACTTACTAATATCAACCAGTAAGACCTAGAAAAGACACTGGAGCAGTAATATGAATATAAACTACATAAGCTGTTCATTCAAACAGTTCCCCATCACTCAGTATTTGTATCCTTAGTTACTGATTCAAACCAGGTTTTGGATGGGATTTCTTCCCTTTCGCAGGGCAAAGCACACAGATCAGGAAGGAGAAATAAGCTCTCCACGTTCTAGCCCTGCAGCAGGTTCCTGGATTTCACCAGTGCTGTTGCTTCTCAGCACAGACACCGTCTCCTGATTAAAGACAGTGGAGGAGCTCCCGCAATTTCTTTTTTTTCCCACAGAGTAATTCTTGCTGTACAAAACAAAATAGCAGAATGGAAAATATTTACACAACATACACAATCCATGGGTTTGGGATTAAAAAAGTATGATGAGATGCTAACAACTCAGTGCTGCTTTAAAGAAATGATCTTTGAAAAGTAATTAATATATTTGCTGAGCCTCTTGGTTTTATAAACCAATCATTTCCAAATGAGCTTTCCTTGAAAATATTAGACATGAAAAAGAAATGCTGTAAACTATTGTTTACAAATATGTACAACACTGTAGAAAGTGGCATGAAACCTTTTAACTTCAAAATATCTCCAGCAAATTACATTTCTGAGAAGTAATATTCTAATCATTTAGGTAATCTCAAGGAAATAATACTTAAAGACATTTCTTTTTAAAAGCCTGTAGAAGTAATCAGATTGTGAAAAGAACAGGATGATACAGATAGAATTAACAAGAAATCAGTGTATAAATCATCCACTTCTTACACTGTGTGAGAGGAATTTCCCACACAGATGAGCAACCTTTGTTCTCTTTAATTATGATCAAGTGCTCTGTAACTTCCAGCTTCTGACAGATCACTGTGAAATGCTGCTGCAGAGGAAACATCAGGAGGGAAACATAAGTTTAAAAGAAGGAAAAAAAAAAAAAGGCAGCAAGCAGTTGCATAATGTTTGGTGGTGGCTTTTTTTCCTGGAGTACCCGTTGTTTCCTTGTCGTGCACTGAATCTATAGTCAGGGTGCACATAGATCTGCTAAGTCAATTATAAGTCCATCTCCATGGTAGAAAAACGCCAATTCCACGTTCAAGTGTGTCCCACTTGCTGCCCAGCAGCCTGAACTGATGAGACCAAGCGCAGCAGAACAGCTACTGCAGTGACACAGGACAGCTAAGGAGATCTAAAATTAGGATTTGCTGATTATTGCTATTGGGTTACACAGGAAATACTTCATTGGGTACTTCATACAAAGAAAATGCCCACAACTGACCTTTAAAACTCCTTATGTGACACACTGAAACTGTTAGAAGTACATAAGGGCGATAATACAGTGAAAAATCCTAGATCCTATTAAAAAATGTGCATGTCTAAGACTGAAAAAAATACCAGCAAAGCATGATTTTTAAAACTTGCTCTTAGAGGGAGTAATTTGAGATAAGCTACACGTGAGGACAATGACAGTGCATACAAAATGTGCTTCGTTTTTCTTATTCACTTATTTGCTGGTATGGAAATAGGATGCAACTCATCATGGATTCCCCCACTTAGTGCAAATTACCCTATCTTTTAAAACATTTAGACTGAAAGACTGCACAAAGCTGTTTTTGTAAGCCTTTGTGGTCCTGGTTATACCCAGTCTGGTTTGAGATCAGCACAGCCTCAGCAACAGAGTCTGGATTTAAGGCACTGGATTTCAGTTTACTCAACAGATTTCCTATTTTCAATTATGTTTGTATTGCAAGAACTTTTCACTGCTCATTTTTGTGGGCTCAAATTATCAGCATTGCCAATTAGAGCAATAGCTTTGAGTATATATTTAGAAAAATTACAGGAGGCACCACTGATGATAGTCAAAAATTACTCAATTATTTTAAATTCTCACCAGAATGATGATGATAAAAACCTGAGTGGAAACAGCTTGGAGGTACTGGCCTTCTGATACAGTGGATTCTGGCTGGAAAATCACCTGAACCAAACAACATAATGGCATTTTATGATATCCTATGAAAGTGACCAAAAGGAATATTAAAAACTATTCTTCTAAATGAGAGTGCAGCGATCCTGCTCAATCAGTGAAAATTCCACTCCTTGCTTTAGTAAGCTTCAAAGCTGACCTAGATTCATGTGGTCTAAATTGCACAAGGTACTTTTTAAATGCAGTATCTTTGCTACACTGGGATTTTTATCTTGTGACCACAGCATTTCTCCATGGACAAAACAATGGCTGTGTAACCAAAAGGTCTTTATGTTTAAATACTTCAGCTTAATGCATGCAAAATGCACAAAACAGCTTTCGTGTACGTATTGAATGTGCGTGTCCTCCTCCAGGCCGACACAAGGTAATATCTTTCAAGGGCTGAACAAACACAGCGTTCTTGATATTCTTAAGTCCTCTGGGCAAACTTCCTTTTAGAGAAGGAAAATAAAGAAATTAGGAAAGATACTCTATGCTGGTTTAAAAAAAAACAAATCAAGCACCTGTGGATTTCTCTCTTCAGTTTCTGTATTTTATTTAAAACTTTTTAAATAACACTATAAGTTATGAAATACTTGACGTTACAAACAGTGCCAACGTAACAGTCATCACTTCCAGTCAGTCCTTCGCAGCTCTTGGGCTGCCACCATTGCTGTGCACAGGCTGTGCTAAAGTTCATCGTGCTTAAGGCCTGCAACCAAAGGGGAAAAACTTATTTTAAAAATTATTTTATATAAAAGTTTAATGAGCAGTTCTGTAAAATGTGGAGAAACCCCTTTATTTTATTTACTGCTGGTCGGTCAGCTCAGCGACAGGAACTTCCTTTTCAGAGCCTCACTGTAAGTTGACCATAAGCTTTCACACAGGATAAAAACAGCTAAAAATTCTTTAGAATGAAAATTGCATTTGCTCCCTCATCCAAATATTTTAAATATTTATCTGCTATGTTTTTTCTTCAACCTTGAGAGCAGAGACCATATTTTTATTTTTTGTTTCATGTTACTTCAAGATGTCAGGGCTTACTGAAAGTCCTATAAGGAGGTTTTTTTCCTCATGCTATTTAAGTAACTCGGTTTAAAACAATTTTAGTAAAAAAACCAAACCAAACTCCATTTGTAAACTAAACCACCATTTATATTGTTGGGTTTTTTTCTAGGTACACTACACATTCACGAGCATAGCACAAAAGTACAGTTACTATGAAAGCTGCTTTCAAGCAAATTTCAAGCCAGAAAGATAAGTAAGAAAAGCTAAGTAAGGGATACTTCTACTGAATTAATACAGGAGATTGACACTGAAATTATTGACAGCTTTGGTGAACAAACGAATTAACAAGAGACTCAGTCACCCACTGCTTAACGGACTACACCGAGCTGGGAGGCATTAGCTTTAGATTCCCTAAATGAGGTCTAAGGTAATGCACTTAATTTAATATTTGTGGCTCAAAGCATGAGGAACAGTTGGTTGTGTTTGAACTCTAAAAACAGCACACCGTTGTTAACAATTTTCTTGGAGATTTTGGCATGAAACCAAAGACTTTATCCTCGCTGTGTACGTGCAATGGAAAGAGGCATCATGCAGATCTTAAAATACACACAATTCCTCTAAGAGCAGGGAAAGTTACACAAATACAATACTTGTGCCTACTGACCCCAATCAATTTCCACCATATTAATATTTGCTTTAAAGAGCTAACAGATGAATATGCATGGAAATTACCTTTTTGAATTAATGAGGTTGGATTTTTCTTCTCTTTTCCAATTTGATGTATGAACTTTTGTATCTCGGAGTCATAGTCAACCCATTCGGGAACTATCCGGGCAGCAGCCTTCAATTTTGGTTCTTTGGTTTGGGGGTTGTTGCACTGAAATTTTAAAACACACCAGGTGTAAGCAAAGTAAATGTGAAAATATCACCTCTCCAAGGAATGTTAAGTGATCTCCCCCTCGACATCACTGAAAATAAACAGCAAAACACCAAACATGTATTAGTCATAAAAGCGGGCTATGTAATCATACACTGACTAGGACAACAATCAAGAAGTTTTAAAATGGTCTTATCTTTCACTTTGAAATAAATGTAAGTTTAATGTCAAACAAACTACTCAACAGCAAATCAAGAATCTTGAGAAGGAAGGCAGAGAAGTACAGTAAAAAGTCATTTCCTGTAAAGATACAAAGAAAATGAAGCTATTTCCGTACTGAATATTTGCACCAGACTCCAGTTACCTGTTTTTCTTCAGAACTGGGGCTGTGAATTATCACTCACGCTGCACGGAGGGTGTTAAAAAATGAGGATGGGGGAAAAATGGGATGGGGGTAATAACGACAGAGATTAACATTTTCTTTCTCTGTTTGAAGTCCTAAAGACATTTTCTGCTTTCTAAACATGGCTGTGTTCCTCAGCATCATGCTTTTTAAGTTCAGCTTTGTCTCCAGTTTATAGTGAGAACCATGTGAGAAAACCATGATAACATCAATCCTCTACATGTTGGTTTCTGAGGAACCTGCTTTGTAAGGAGCGCAATAGCAGCAGGCAATACCCAGACAATTAGAGATCCACTAACCTGATTATGGAAAAAAGATAGGGAAAAATATACGTACAGGTGTGAAAAGCCCTGATCCTATCCAGTTACAGGCATAGGAATATTTCAGGTATAGTTTTCAGCTTCAACATAAGCAGGATTGGTACGGAGCAAGCGGGAGAGGTCTGAAGTGGAAAGGAGAGACGTCGCTGTATTTTCAGGCAAAAGAAGCAGTTGCGGTGCCTTCCAGCAAAGCTGCCTCTAGGGCATCTCATATGTGCATTTCAAAAGCCACAGAAATTATAGGGAAATTTGTAATCTGTGAAACCAACTCAAAATCCACTCACCAAGTCTATCGTTTTAGCCTTTTTCTTGGATTCATCGTCACACCAGGTTTCACACCAAAGCCATTCCTGAGGAAGAGACTTAATAGCCACTTGATGAATCATGTTGTTGGGAAGATCCTGGACAGATTTTGGAAAATCAAAAATTAGCACTGAATTTGGTGTAACTGGTTATCAGGGAGCTACTTAAAAGTAGAATATCCTATTACCATTCCTGCACAACGTTCTTATGTTTCCTCCTAAGAGTTCACCTGTTCCAGGTAGGTTCAAAACTTAAGTCATGCCCATTTTGATGACCAGCTCCACCTCTCATTTCTCAAGTAATTTTTTCTTGTACTTACACTTCCTTAGCTTCACATAAGCGATACTTACTTACTGTCTGATCCTTACGGTTCAGGTACTGCATGTCCTACTGAAATACTACTGAGCAGAATTAGACTGTGTGGAGTTACTAAAGCATAACTTCACCATCTTTCCATTCCTCAAGTTTGCAAATAAACCTCAAAAGCATACAATCCAGGACTGTGCTACTACTCTACATTTGGCCATCTTCTAGGAAAACAGATTCCAGAAACATGGGTGTGAAAAGGAAAAGCTACCGAACTGCTATTCTAGCGGTCTTCCTTACTTCACTTAAAATATAGATATATATATTATATACATATATTTTGACCTTTATTATATAGTCAAGTACTCTCATAGTGAAAATCTGCACCAGTATCTTGCTGGGTACAGGGAACAGCATTTACAAATGAGAAAAACCTCAGGCTGTCATGCACTGCACACACTCTGGCCAGAGTTAAAAATAAGACGTCATTGGTAGAGCCATTCGTAAGCTCCTTCACATGTGCAACCCTTATGTTGTATTTCAAAAACAAATGTCAGCACTCAAATAAGTATTAGTCACATCTTATTTTGCCAATACATCTCGCTAAATGTGACAGGATAAAATAGCACAGATAGCTGCATTATAAAAGGCATATCATTTAATTCAAATATAGACATTAGTACAGAAAAACTGCATCTAATAAATATACTGAGAGTCAAGGCATTTAAACATTACTGAAATGTTTTCCTTTTTGAAAAACTTCAGTTCCATGAATTTTTGGAAAATAAAATGAAATTAAGATGGTGATAAATCATTTAAGAGAAAAGGGGCTGATTTTCTGTTGTGCCTCTCTGACCTTCTGAATGAAATCACAGTTCCTGTGTTATTGCAGTAACTCTCAAAGTTGTGAATTTACAAATTGTTACATGGAGTAGCAAGTAGAAAGACACCTTCTAGTTCCAAGATTTCAAGTACATAGAAACAACTAAAAACGTCTGAAAATTTCAAAAAGTTGCTTCTCCTTTCCATTTTTAGTTTGAAAACACTAAAAATACATCTAGAAGATCAAAGAGGAAACATAAAAGAACAAGGGTGAGAACAGGTGGTTTTTACGGCCAGTGCCAGGATCCCTGTTTATCCAAAAGATGTAAACCGCAGAAATTAAAGTCTTCTAGACTTTCACATACACCCTTTAAAATTTGCTCTCTGATTTGATTGACAATGTGAGTGTGTTCGCATTTGGTCAGATAACCTACATAATTTTAAAGGGGGACTCTTCTACAGGAGCATAACTTCAAATTAAAAAAATAAAGAAACATTTCCTCTTAATAAAAGAGTCTACTCTTACATTCCTGCCTGCTGATTTTTATTCTTTAGGTAAAGAACAAGAGCATTAATTACCTATTTTTAATGAATTGCTATTAATATATATACCTGTCAAGTATTTTGTCATCTTCATACAGACATTTTCATGCTTCTCTTTAAAAAGGACAATTAGATGTGCTGTACTGGAAATCTAGTTTCTATGTCTAATTTTCCTCCCTAGGAGTTCTTTACTTACTGCCCTTGGCATTTAAAAGTACCTTTTTCCCCACTCTATCTACTTCTATTTTGAGGTTTATTTTAGCATAACCCCAACTACCACCCATGAAGGCAGCAGTGCTGGCAGATCAGCAAAGAGCTAAGATTACTGCTGCTTTGAGAAGGGCTGTGAGCAGACTATATATCTGACTATCCAGTCAGATATTCACTATGAAAATAAAGATTTTATCATCATGCATTTTATCAGTAGACAAAAGCTCTCCATGACTCGTCACATACATTGATTGCACTGTGGTTTGTATTTCTAGGAACGATCCCATATTTGGTGTAAGCAGCAGCAACGAAGACAAAGTGATTCTTATCAATATAGTCAGAAAGCAGATTCCTATGAAAATATTACCTTGAAATATTTCCCTTTGCAAAGTCACTACAAGTCTCTTCTGCCAAGATTTAGCTGCCTTAATGCCTGCTCTCTGCAGGCATCCACTGATGCTTCAGTGGCTTTTGATCTGATCCAACAGTTTTATAAGAGGTATATGCTATATAACTATTGATGCTGTCATTGAAAACATAAGAACCTCCAAATGGAAAGATGCACTTCCTTAATATTTTGAGAACATTAGATAAAACTAATGCCTGAGAAGCAGCATTATGGTGGAAACCCTGTAACAGCTTCTGAGTCTTAAAGGTCTTTCCGAAAGACACCTTGTACATACGGGTAAGGCTATGTCTGAAAACCACAGCTGGTCACATCAGGACTCTCCAAATGTGTGATACAGGGCCAATAATTCAATTTCTTGTCCAGAAAAGAGAGGTAAAAATCTGAATTTTGCTGTTAATATCAGGCTTTTGCTCTTAGTAGTCATCGCTTAAGGCTGCTCCAACTCCTTGTACCCAGTCTAGTTCAAGCTGCCACTTGGTCCAGTATAATAAGATCTGCTATCTGCAATTTTTAATGTTATTTCTGGAAAACATGCAAGGGGTAGTAATGTGCTTAGGTAGGAGACAGAGAGAAACCCACTTGCAGAGTAAGGGGGTGGAGTGCAGGCACTGAGAGACGTGGGCTTTGCTAATCTGCTACAAGCAGGTACCAAACCTTTTGTGCTTTAGTAATTCCACAAGGAAAATTACAAAAAGCAGGGACAATCTCACTTATTAAACCTTCCAAAGTTCACCCAAAGAGAGACATGAATAAAAACCATTATTTACTCAGCCAGAAATTGGATAAGCTGTATCCTCAATCTTCTGCTGAGTTAAAGAGCCTTTACTACAGAAGAAAATAGTAAATTGGAGTATGTTCTGTACATAGGATCTACTTACATCCTTGTGATTTGCACTCTGACTTACCCCACTGGGCTTTAAAAATTGGTGGAGTTTTATAAATGAAGACTACAGTCACCCTGAGGTGACCATGTACAGCAACCGCTAGAGTGCATTAGCGGGTAGCTTCCAAAAATTAAATTTACATTAATGGGAAAAAAGGAAGGAAGAGAGAAAAGAGCTTGTATATGAGAATATAAGCTTATCCCTAGAAAAATACCAATGTATATAGAACATGTGCATAAAACTGTACAAATAAAGGACAGCAGTGCCATATATTTGTCATCTATGCTGGTTTTTTCCTTTTAAAAAAATTAATTATTTAAAGTAATTATTATTTGGTTTTCTGACCTGTGCTCATATGCACACCTGAAAATTTGGTAGCACATCAATAAAGAGCAAATAATTTCGGGATCATGTAACATATATAGAGAGAAATACAAAATAATTCCATGTATATTAAGAAAGATAAAGAAAATAAAACCCAAACTGTTTAAAGCCGTGGATACCTGGTCTAGATTTGACAGACTGTTGGGATCTTGACTGAGAGCCTGGTACTGGCCCCGCAGCCTGTCCCCAGCTGCAATCTTCCTGAACTTCTTAAGATCCACAACGTACAAGGCACTAAAAGGATTTAAAAATAAAAAAAAAACTAATTAAGATTTGTGGAGTTTCACTGTCTTTTTTATATTGTTAATAAAAGTAACAAGAAACCAAAACCTGTTCCCATCCTAAAGGAATTTTTTAATTAAATAGCTGAAGCTACAGTAAAAAAGTGAAATCGATATGGCATCAGAACTCATGCCTTATGCATCTCTTGCTTTTGAATGCCTCAGCGATCAATACCAAGATCCAGATTTTAATCAAATTCATGAACAGCACAAAAATCTGCAAGGATTTCTCCTACCTAATGTGGTATTTCCTTTTCCCGAGATGTGACGCCCAGTACCCCGATTTCCAGAAGCGGTACCCATCCATTTCTTTACGGCTGTCACAGAAAGGTGTGTACCCATAGGGAGCTCCATTTAGATCGAGATCTCTGAGGTCTTTTAGGTCACTTCTCACAATCTAAATTAAAAAAAAAAAATATTGTTTATAATGTAATACTGTTTTAAAGCTGAGCATATGAGGGTAGTTATTGCAGCAAGCTTCCCAAAGTTTAATTTTAATTTAATTAAAAAAACAAACCTTACACGACAGCAGTGGAGTGCAGATAAGGTATTCCACTGGCATGACATTTGCTAAATTATTGTTCAAGGGAAAAAATATGTGTTTATTCTGTGGCCATTTGTATAACATATTTAGTAAGTAAACTAATTAAAACAAGCAAAGTATCATCCTGGGGTGTATTAGAAGAGGTGTGGTGAGTAGGTCGAGAGAGGTTCTCCTTCCCCTCTACTCTGCCCTGGTGAGACCACATCTGGAATATTGTGTTCAGTTCTGGGCCCCTCAGTTCAAGAAGGATAGAGAGTGGCTTGAAAGAGTCCAGCGCAGAGCCACAGAGATGATTGAGGGAGTGGAGCATCTCCCTTCTGAGGAGTGGCTGAGGGAGCTGGGTCTGTTTAGCTTGGAGAAGAGGAGACTGAGGGGTGACCTCATTCATGTTTATAAATTTGTAAAGGGCAAGCGTCAGGAGGAAGGAGCCAGGCTCTTCTCTCTGATGTCACATGATAGGAAAGGGTAACAGCACTGGACCAGGCTGCCCAGGGAGGTTGTGGAGTCTCCTTCTCTGGAGACATTTAAAACCAACCTGGACACGCTCCTGTGTGACCTAGTCTAGGTGATCCTGCTCTGGCAGGGGGGTTGGACTGGATGATCTTTCGAGGTCCCTTCCAATTCCTAATATTCTGTGATTATGTGATTTTTAATTCATAGACCTTTGTTTCTGGTTGCCCAATATTAAATTCATTCATGCAGGAGTATATCTTCCAAAATCCACTGAGCATCTCCCTTCTAAAAAATCCTTCCTATTTGTTACATTAACTTGGGCACGCTGAAATTATTTTAAAAAAATCTTTGTATATGGCAGCAAAATACTTTTAAAAATAAGTTATGAGGACATGCTACAAATGTCCTTTATTTACTAATCAATCATTCTTACATCAAGCCCCACTAATCTAATTTATCAGAGGTAAAACAAACAGTTTTAGCTGTTTTGGCTTACAGAGAAATCCTTACCGTAGTTAGGAGGGACAACCACTGCTATTACTGTATTCAGATGAAACTGCAGAAAGTTGCAGTCTGCATTGCTACATCTAAATCTAATTTATCCTCAAGCTTTGGAAAAGGACCAAAATACATAATATTTGTTCTGAGGTTTTTAATAACCATGTGATAGACTCTTCAATGTCTCATCTGTTTGAGACAGTGTGTTACCTTTCAGTATATTATACAATATTAATTTGAGTGAAAGACTGCATACAAGTTTAAGAGGAGGAGGCAGGATTCATCTTAAAAAAACAAATCAGCCCTTCAGAATATCCCAAAGTTGTTCAGATAGCCTGAATTAATCACCTCAAGCCCCTTTTATAGTGAGTGGAGAAGTTCTCTCACAGTCAGCCCAGAGACTGAACCCCTTGAATATGCTGTCAGTGAAATGCACTTTCAGATGGCACATACCCCTCCAGGTGCCCTTCTCTCTCCACGGGCTTTAGAGGCAATTTGGGGCAACACAGTGTGATGACACTCTTAAATTTTACGTGACTAAAGACAAGTGAAATGATTGCATTTCACGTTCTGCAACAGCACTGGTTTTGCTGATACAAATGCAATAGTCTTACAAGACCAATATCTGAATAAAAGGGCCACAGAGAATGCAACTGGATTAGTTTAAGCCAAAATGAATTCCTCACACATTTATGGAGCATTAATTTTTCTTACCTGGTCAGCATCGACAAATATGATTTTATCCACAGCCAAAGGGAAAAGAACATCCAGAAAAAGAATTTTGTAGCCCCAGATAATTCTTTGTTTTTCTGTCTGTTGATGAAGCCAGCGGGGCCACTTATACTGTACCAACTCATACTTGAACCCGAACTTTTTAGCCATGTGAGGAATAACATCCTAGAAGAATGAAAAATATATCAGTTACACACGTATGTGACACACAAGGACTCAGAAGGGCAAAGAGGGAATGCTGAAACACAGCTGCAGCTGTGGTGGCCTTACTGACTACATAAATTATTATTATTTTAAAATGTTTCTTTAATTCTGGCAGTATCCTACATAAATATAAATACATAACTACAAAAACACATAAATATAAAAAGCATTTTCTTTCAAGCTCTTGAAGACTATCAGCAGAGAATAAGTTATTATAACATATAACCGGGTTTTGGGGTCCAGGAAAGAAGCACACACACAAGACTTTTAAAACTAGTGGTATTTAATGCATCCAGAGGTAATTTCCAACTGTGAAAATTTAGTTATAATTATATAAATAGGTTTTTTTGGGAAAAAAAACCCAAAAACTACTTAAAATTTTTAAGAAGAATAGAAGGAAGACATTTCCCTTACCTTAAATGTTGGTGAGAGATAGTTTTTCAAAAACCAAAATTTAACTGGTGTTTTTGTATGACGTAGGACAGAAAGCATCATAATTCTGTGGAAATACAAGGCTACAATAAACAAACAAATACACACAGGTCATTAAATTTCAAACTGCACCTACAAGGTGTTAAAGCTTTCTAAGTGTAATTTTCTTTAACCCAGTTTAAGCAGAAACCTCTATTTCTAATTAAAAGCTTTAAAGAGCATGTGTTCAAGACTGCTTTGAGATGGATTTATTTGATCCAGATTAGCTAAGCAATTTCAGAAGTGCATCTGTTAACAACTTTTATTCTAAGGGAGGAGCCTGACAAAATTGGAAGAATGATGAATACTTTATATTAACTTAGCTACTGAGATAGCTTCTTTTAGAAATACACTGGTTGAGTTTATTAGGTTGAAATGAAAAACTGTGGAAAAGAGAAAGCACAGTTCAAGTTAAGATCCCCTTCATAAAACCCTTGATAACTGTAAAAATCATGATTTTGGGTTCAAATTTTTTTTGCTATTGTGGCATTTGTTTGGTGTAACCAGACAGATAAGCAATGCCTTATGCAAGAGGTCGAGTCTGCCCTATAAATCAAGAAATAATCAACTTTAAATAAGGTAAAGAAGCACATAGGATTTTTTTTCTTTTAAAACATAAACCAGCCTTTCCCTTTATGAAGGCTGTTGTAGGTTGAAGGGAAGAAACACACATGTTCAAACTGCATCAGACTACTAAGAAATCAGAATCAATACATACAAAATACTACTTTCCAAATAAATACGCATGAAAGAATTGTGAAATTCAATATTAGGACAGGAAAAGTCACTAAATCTGATATGTGTGGACAAGTATTGAAAGAAATCCAAAAAGTAATGGAGATGGCTGTGAACAGATTAGGCAAAACTGTAAGAATTCCCTCAAAGCAACCATTGCTCATTGAATGAACACTGAGGTGAGTAAGGCCATAGGTACATATAGCAAGACCCACAGTTTGGGCTAAACGTAAATAGATACCGCTCTAACAAAGTCACTGCTGTTATGTCTTTGTAAAGAGAGGCTGAACTTTATCATAGAATCATAGAATAGCAGCTTGGAAGGGACCACAGGGATCATGCAGTCCAACCTCTCAAGGTAAAGGTATAGTTTAAATGCGATGGGTCAGCACCTTGTCAAGCTGACTCTTAAAACTGACCAATGCAGGGGAATTTACCACTGCCCCTGAGACATTGTTCCAATGTCTGATTGATCTCATGGTAAAAAAAATTCTTCTGGAGTTCAAAATATTATCCTTTATGTTCACACTTCGCACATGCACTCATGAAAGACACAGAAAACATTTTTCTTTCTTCAAAGGATAATAGCATTTTTGAACATCTATACAATGAACCACTTTGCTCTCAAAGATTAATTTGGTCCTCACTGTATACAGCCTTTTTATGTTTTAACAGTTTATTCTTTACACCTTGTTAAAAAAGTCAGACTTTTAAGGTGCTTAATTTTAGGACAAACGTTTACAGTATCCCTATGAAATTCTCATTTCCTTTTTACCTTTCCTTACCTTAAAAAGCGTTCATATAAATGGCCTGAAGCAACTGAAAAAATGTTAAGAATATCACTTTTCTTTTCCTTCTCCTCTGTCAAAATTTCTTCTGAAAATCTAAGAAAAAACCCCAAATTATTACATAAAGTATACGTTCAGCAGAAAGAAAATACTACTACATTAACATTAAGCTTGTAAAGAATAAAAAATAAGAAAATCCATAAAAGAAATACTCATTCTACAGTAATTGAATACACTTATAATCTACTTCTACTGCACATGCCTATGATACCAAAACCTTTTGGGAACAACATCTCATACCAAATCACCCAGGTCAAATAACAGCACAACTGCAGTCTCCAATATTTTAAATCAAACAGAGCCCAAATCTGGAAAGAACTCTGTTTCATCAAAGCAAGAATCAGAACTACACACAGCCAAAATACCTTGAGAACTGGTTATTTTTAAAATCACTCACAGCTATTCTTCAAGTTTTATCCACGTGCATTCTACATCACAAGAACCAGTGCATGTTCTTGATGTGAGGGATGTCTGCGTAGCCCCATAGGTGACTGAGCTGAATGGATACTCCAGAATACAGACTGATCATAATATCAAGATAGCCCCACCAGGCCAAACCACCTATTTAGCCCAGTATCTTAAAAACTGCAAATAACACGGCCAAGGAGTAGTAGCCTTTCACAAAATACTCTCATAACATTCAGTGGTTCATGGTGATGGGATTTACTGAGTGTTTTTCATAATACTTGCTGAATTTTTCCTTAAATTCATCCAATTCCTCTCCCTATAAGCTACCCATGATCTCTGAGGTACACTGTCCATAGGTTTTCTGTTTCTGCTGCACTGCATTATCTGCTTGCTTTGAATACCAAAGTTTACAGGGATTGGTTTTTTTAATCCTGTGTGCCTTCCAGCACACACAGCTGGGGATGTGGCTGCAGTCCTCCTCAGAGCAGTGTTTCGCAGATTTTGGAACTGCAGAGGCTGCCTTAGCCAAATTGGTTACAGTAAGGACTGACAGTGTTGGGGATTCACTCCAATAGTCTTTATTTTAGGTAAGTCACTCCTCACACACTTAGATTGTGTGAGTCACTCCTATTAATTTTTCTTCTGGTTAGATCCCTTCTAGAAGTATATTTCAAAAGTATAAAAATAAATATTCCTCATAATATTTAAGAGCAAATGAGACAAGTCTCAGCTCCCCAACATATTCAATAGAATTCACCTCACTCCACTAATACAAAGCTGACATCTCAGAAGGCTGCAATGTGTGTAAGCGGTGCGAATAATCTTTTGAGAAACCCACATCAGCACTGGTAAGAGGAGACAGCACAGTCCTACCTGATCAGGACTACAGCAAACGCAAAAGAAAGGGACATCACTGCAGCGGCACTGACTGCAAGGTGTGACATATCTGAAGAAGACAACCCCTCGGCTAGCACCAGGTTCTCACAGGCTACACAGACTGCAGGTCACAGTCCCAAGCAGTCTGTCTGCTTGCTTTCTGACTTTTTGTCCCGTTTCCTAGACTTTGTGATAGCAGGACTGAAAGAACGTCAAGCTCTTTATAATGCAGCCATCATTGTATGTGACTACAAAGACAGATTTGAAAAGGGAAGATCAGGTTTTGATGCAAGGATCTTGAAAATACTGATTATGCAAAGCTTTGCAGAAGGCAGAGATCTTCCAAATTGAACAAACTGCTCTGAAGATGGCAGGATTAACCTGTAATGTCACATGGAAAAAGCAGTCAAGTTATGAAAGGACTTTGGCGATGTGATATGCACATGTCCCACATCCTATGTGCACACGTGGATTCCTGTAATAAACCGTGTGCTGGCAGGATAAAGGTGCCTATAAGAAATCTGGGGAAGAGCTCTTCACTAGGGCATGCAGCAATAGGACAAGAGTTAATGGTTTTAAACTAGAAAGGTTGGATATTAGGAAAAAGTTTTTCAATATGAGGGTGGTAGATCACTGGAACAGGTTGCCCAGAGAGGTGGTCGAGGCCCCATCCCTGGAGATATTCAAGGTCAGGCTTGATGGGGCTGATCTGGTAACACTGTCCCTGCTCACTGCAGGGGGGTTGGACCAGATGATCTTTAAAGGTCCCTTCCAGCCCAATACATTCTATGATTCTATATTAAAGAGGAAGGATATTTGCCAAGCTCCTAGATAGCAAGAAGCTGACAGACATAAAACAGGCCTCAAATCATGCCCTTCAGCCACAATCTTGAATCAACAGGAAGAGCAAATGAACTTTACTGGGTGAGAGGCTTCAAGAGCCCAGCAGAAATGTGGGTCCACTTCCCTGACCTATGGTTTCAGGAAGAAAGTTTTGGGATTTGTAGTATAGCAGTCTAGAAGGCTTTCGGAATCTAGACAATATTGTAGCAAAATCATTTGTGGATGAATGGTGATAAACATAAAATCAGCAACAGAGAGTCAATAAAATGTCCAGGTACTTGAGATACAGGAGGCCTTGTCAGGAGAGATGATAACGCCTACACTGAAGCCAGTCCTGGATCTACCAAGTGTGTGCTGAGGATTAATTGGGGTCAGTTGCTTACTACATAAAGTGGAACTGCTATGTCTATCTTCTTGAACAGTCTGTGACTGACAACCATTGCCAAGGCAATGGAAGAAAATGGAAGAAAACCTTTTTCTGAGTCTCACAGCAGTCGTCTGGGGACAGAACGTCTTTAGGGCATGGAGAAAATAGTGATGAAAAAGCCATTCTCCTTAAATCCCTCATAGTGGCATTATCTCTTTTTACTAGCTGCATTATAGTCCAAAGATGTTCTCCTGAACAATGGAGGAATCAGACTTTACGTCAATGGTAAATCTCGAATGCTTAAAGGTACTTATGGACAAAGCTACTGCAATTTATTTTTTCTTTCAGGGCAATTACATGGATTAAGCTGTTTATACAGCCAAGTCACCAGCCCTATGCTTTTTTTCAGAAGGCATTACTGTCAGTTCTTTGCCTTTGCAATCATACAGCCATGACAGCTTAGCACTCGGTACCACACTGCAGAAGCAACCTGTGCTGGAAATCACTTTCTGAGAGCAAACATGAGTTTCCTACCAAGCGGATGGAGTCCCGTACAGAAACAATGTATTGCAAATTAATTCCCCCTCACAACAGCCTTGAAGATGCAGAAGAGGAATTATCATCACCTTGAAAGAGTGGATGAATTTACTGTGGTACCAGCATTCCAGATTAAAAACCCAAGCTCATTCTTCTTTGACACTAAGACATCAAATCACTGGGAATTCAGAAAGTACTTTTGCCAGCACCCCAATTTTCACACTTGAGACCATTATCTGTTTGAGATGTTTCTTGTGAAAAAGGTCTCTGAAGTGCTACAAGGAAAGAATGCTCAGAGAGCATCCAGGCCACTGCTTCTAAAAGACATTGGTCAAAGATCATCTGATGGAAAAGCTCTGGAAAAATTAACATGTCTTGGAAAATGATACAACACCCCATGTTCCGATCCACAGCATAGACATACCAGAAACCTCTAAAATTATTTTTCTAAGCAAAGATGAAACATCCTTCTTTTGCCCTCATTTCATTCTCAAAAATGATATAACAACAATTTCATAGAAATTTGCATTTTATTAATAAAAATTAAATTATTTTTTCTAAAAATCAGCCTGAACCACGCACCATCCACAGAAAACATAATTATGAGCAACTGAAAACAAAATTCTACAATGGTATATGGCAAATCAGGAATACTACAGTGTTATTAGACCCAAATGTAAAGCTTGAGAGGTCTATTACAATTATTTCTAGAACTCAAACTTTAAAGTAAAAGGTATTTTATTGACAAATACAAAAACACTTCTTAAGCTTCCATAAATTACATCTAGCAGCAGGCAAGCAGCATCATAGCCTGCTTTTCCATGTTCAGTTTGGTACATCTGAGTACGTCATTACTGACCATGATTTTCACCTTGAGATTGATACCTTGCCACACCAAAATAAAAATAATGCCAAAGGAGAAAGTGAATCGGAACTAGAAACGCAAAGGAGGGGTTAAAAAGGAAATCAATAATGAAATGTACAAGATTTTATAGCTTGTATTTGCCCCCATTTATTTTCACTATAAATCCCTTGGGGAGCCTTTTTACATATTTGTATCACTATCAAGTAGGAAACCCTTACTTGCTATGAGTAACAGCAAACATATCCTGGCATGTTTATAGCACAAGCAAATTAAACATTACCTTGTAACTGATTTCTGACTTCCTTTTTTTCCTGTTGTTTCATCAGTAAGGAGATCTTCATTCATTTTATCAGGCTTTTTCTGTACCTAGTCATTAAAATAAATGTGTTTGTGTAATTTGAGAAGTTAGCTGACAATAATTACTACTTCAATTGTGATATCCAACTATGGTGTACTTACTGGCTAGAACTGGACCAGCACCTTAGCAATTTCTATTTCAGTAAAATACTTACTGAACTGCATTAAACTGAGCAGTAAAAATATCATTTCATACTTTTAAACTATGTATAGAACTTGCTGTAATAGGAAGAAAAGTAATCAATTGTGAAAAATTAAATGGTGATTAATAAATCAAGCAGCATGTTCAAGCCCTCTGTGCCTCTTCAAGCAAACAGTAACTAAAAGCGTGTGGAATTGTCTCTCATTTTCTTCCCCCACGAGTTTGTGATCCAGGCAGTAGCTGGCAGAAGGAGGGTAGCGGGGTGTTGCACCATGCCTGGAACAACTGAAGGGAAACTGCGATTCTCATGCACCCTTCACAAGGATAAATTGACAAATTTGCTGCTGAAACATAAGCTCTTATGTCCAACTTCAGCAATTTCTGCTGTCTTTCCTAGATGCTCAGTGAAGGCTCCAAATTAATTTTACTTGCTGACCTTAACCTCCTCAATTAAAAGAAACCTAGTTTTTGAAACCAAATAGCTTCTAAAAGACTAATTGTTTGAACATATTCAATTCTAACAATATTAATTCCACATGCTTATACATGTTAACAGTTGCAGATTTCTGTTCT